GACCAACTCCACATCGTGTCGTCTTTGAAATAAAGAAAGCTGCGAGTAGCACGGAGAACAAGAGTCGTGACACGGGGCAGGTACTCAGAACAGTTATTTACTACGACTGCTAATGTAACTGCAACTCAGCTAACTGCAACTCAGCAGCCTGTCCTCCTCCTCTCCTTCCTCTCCTACTCCGCCGACGACGACGACTACTTCTGCTACCGCTACTACTGCCAAGCGGCTGCCGGTGATACTTCTGCTACTGACAAATCTGCCACAAGCACACACACACACACACACACTACGACCTGGTATTAACACGAAGAAGTTTGCGGACTACTTACGACAGTTTACAAAGCCCTCAGCCCGGACTGCTGACCCGAAGAGAAAACCTAAGCCTAAAGCTAGGGTTTAGGGCATTGCAAAAAGGATGGACTTTCTGAGGATGTTCCGACATGACTGTGCGAGCCAAGCAGGAAGTCAGAGGATCTGTTCGTTTATTTCCTTTCAAGACGACGAGTGCCGTCGTTTAGGAAAGGGTGCCCGGTTCATGACCTGCAACAAATCACTTCAATTGAGCCGTCAACACTAGCCACTACCAACCCCAGATCCTGTGCCGACTTTAGACTCGCCGGTGTATTTGACATCGCTGCAGAAGTTTGCTGCAAAATAAGTCAGACAAAAATCTTGTGCATATAGACCGCCACCCCTGGCCCACAATCTTGACAGATTTAGCCTTGTTTCTATCTGACGTCCTGAATGCCTCACCCTCAGAATCCTAAATCCCAAGGCCTACACCCTTAGACTGATCTGCAGAGGCTAGTAACAGTATGGGTCTCTTGGGCTTCCCACAAGCACCAGTTTCAACTGGACTATTGTGCCTGTCTCAGGCGTCGCGGCAAAAGCGTGCAGGTTGTTCTTTGTTGTTTTTGTGGCGGGATGCCTCTTAGGTGTAGCCTCCCTCGAACCCTACACCTCCTAAACTAAATCTGTTTAACCCTGGGGCTCCAAATAGCCCAAAGTAGGTAATATTTACAGACTTTAGACGCCGAAGTAGGTACTATTTGTATCCTTGGAGCCTTGGGGTAACAGTAAACCCTTAAGCATCCATCCCACATGAATATACTTGAGTTTGTATTGGCGAACTGTCGTTGACGGCCAGGTCTAGGACATTTCAGGTGGGTAGTCACCTTTATAGAAGCCTTATAGAGGGTCTATATACCTTATAGAATCTATTATAGAAGCCTTATAGAAGCCCTAATACCCTAAACTCCCCCACCTGTAGTTTCCTTTAACTAGGGGTTTACGGTTTTTCGCCATCCAGTGGAGGCGCTCAATGGGGGCTTTCGAGGGGAAGGCGTTTAAACGGTCTGGAGTTTAGGTGTTTAAGGTGTTTAAGGTTTTTAGCCATTTATAGAGTTTATATAAGCGCTGAAGGTTTTTGGGGGTTTGGGGCTTTCATGCGCACGGGTTTTAGCTGTTTTTGCACTTGGCAGCCTGAGGATCTAGGTGGGTTTAGGGAGGTTCTAGTGCAAGTAAGTCAACCTTTATCTGTCAGGTCAGCTCAGTCCTGTTTCTTCCTTACGGCTGTAATTAGGGTTTGGGGCTTAGGGTTTATATATAAGGCTCTAGGATTTAGGGCTTAGGCTTAGGGTTGTTTTTCGGGCTTAGGGGGTTAGTTGGCAGCTTCAGAGGAAGCAAAGTGCGGTGAAATTGTATACTGGATTGCGCGTGTGAGGGCCAATTCCAGTGACCAGCCAAACAGAGCAGCTAGAACCTCAAACCCAAAGCTCTAAGCATCTCATTAAACCCTGAGCCCCAATTGAACCATGTAAATGTGCTCAAATGCCTCTGGTACGTACTACTTCGGCCCGGACAGGTTTAAGGAGTTGCCACGTTTGCCTCTGCCGCCGCCATGGCACCGAACAGTCGGAACCTTGCCTGAGTTCGGATCTAGGGCCAAGTTGGGTCTGTGGTTTCTGTGGGTGCTGATTTCAGCTCCATGTTTGTATATGGGTACATAGGTCGGTCGGTAGGCAGGAAGTGCTTGAGGGCTTGAAGGGCTTAAGGTTTAGCTCTTGGGATCGCTTGTGCGAAAGAAGGGTCGTGTGAGCTATGCCGTCTTGAGTCGTGGGGTCTAGCCTAGTAGTCTGCATATTGGGTCACTAGGTTGCAGGGGAAGAGTAACTCTGGGCTCATAGGATAAGTTCGGGTTGCTATTCCAGCATAATTTAATCCGGCAGAATTGCAGCATAGTGGTGCTGCAGGGCTCGATAGGCAATTCCAGCCCCTACCCCCTACCCCCCAAGTGCCAAATCTTAGTTGCTGAAATCGATCGCCAGCGTTTTAAAATCGCGTGACATCGCTCGCTTGTGGAATAGGCGTTCGAAGGGCCTCCAGATCAAAAGCCCCTCAGACCCAACACTATGGCCCGCAAAACCTCCACCAATAAATGAAATTCAGCATAAAGAGCTGCTAAATCCTTCACCTTGGTCGTGGCCAATGACAACGAGCTGGTACACGTGTTTTCACGCCCCCAAAAACTATAATCCAGGCGATATGCTGCCCTGTGCACACCCCGAACCCTATTAATAGAGGGGCCTTAATAATTACCTATACTATTTTAGGGGTTCCTTATTACAATTCGAGTATAATGGACTCCAAAACCCTATTCTAATTATTGAGGCTTTTATATTATCCCTTCGCAGAGTGCTCCGCCCTTCTTCCGAAGGGATTGACCGAATCATCTTTCCGTGTCCAAGAGCACATTCAGCCCAGCCCGACACTGTGGTGCCAGAAACGCTGGTGCAAGCAGTGGCAACCAGAAGCCTGTCCCCTGTCTATACTTGTGCGCTCCAACACTTAGTGAACTCAGAACGAGCGTTCTGATGCAAGAGCCTTTTCCAGTACTACTACTACTACTACTACTACTACTACTACTACATGGGCCCCAAAACCCTATTCTAATTATTATAAGGCCCCTACATTACACACTCCAATGGCTTCTTCGCAAAGTTGCGAGCTTTTGCGGTTCACAGCCTTGGGACCTAAACCCTAAAACCTATAAACCCTAAACCCTAAACCCTAAACCCAGCCGAGGAACCACCAAAACACGCCAGCCTTCATCGGGTATCGGCTCATCCAGCGCTTCGTAACCTCGAACCCGTCTCCGGGTTACGTCTTCGACGTTGCGGAGGCCTTGAACACCGGGTTTCTAGGAGGCCCATGGGATCCTTCTAGAAACTCCATGGGGCGTAATTCTCTAAATTAGGGCTAGTTCGGGTCCCTCTTTAGGTCCCCAATATAGTACGGCACCCTTATAATTGAAAAGAACCCCCAGAAGGGACCCGAATTTAGAGAACTGTGCATAGAGCCTAATAGAGCCCTCGTAATTACTGTAGATGTGTTCCGTGGGCTCTGTGGGCAGATCCGGCGAGACGGCGGGGAGAGACGACCATGAGTAAAGCGACAGTAGCCGCCACAGTAGCAAAGACAAGGGGAGCCAGCAAACAAGGAGTGGTGGATCAGACACAGTGACAGTGGACGTTCAACACGTGTAAGTGACGTTCGAAGCGCAGAAACTTTCCCCAGGGAACCCAAAACCATCCAACACCTTTCTTGTTTCAATAGGTTTTGGGGGTTTAGGTTGTGGCCTAATTCTGGCCTGATGAAAAGGCAGGTTGCGAGTTTCGCAGGTGGCGTTTCGGAGTTCACGACACTTGGAGTTTACATCGTTTAGGGTTTAGGGTTTGACCGGTGTCTCAAGCACTCTGGCTACCACGAGAAACCGGGGTGTGTTGAACTACTCGCACAACCCCTTCTCCAATTTATGAAGCATTGTTTACTGTGGGTCTGAGCTGGCTACGGTCTTCCTTGTTCCCCCGAGGCATCTGTTTGTTGGTAGAGTGGGTGCCGTGATGATCACTCAGACGCTCTAGACATGTATGAAGCAGTCGTACTGAGAATGAGGCACGGCCTCGCAGCTTGAACCCAAAGTACATATGACCCTGTCAGTCCTAAACCCGACATTCTCAGGCATTCAAGACGGGGGCCTATCAGGGACACACTTTCTCAGGCGGCCAGAGAGTTTGATGGGAGTCGAGGGGTCGGGTGTCCGGGGCGAGCACACACCTGTCTCCTGGGTTTAGGGTTTAGGGTTTAGGGTTTAGGGTTTAGCCCAAAGTTGTCGATCAGCAGGAGGCCCTTATGCCTAAGCATACCGGCAGTTCATCTCGCGCTGCCCATCATCTGTCTGCAGTTCTTTCTCCCAAGCCGCCAGGCCCTAAAGTCGAGCCAACCCGAGTATACCCTCAACCTTAAAGCGATAACCCGAAAGCGTCCGTCTTCCACACGGAGTCTCATATTATGAATATAGCTGTTTTCAAAAAACATCCCTTATTATACATGCACAGTACAGATAGACACAATGCTATTCTATAAAATAGATACATGGGCCTTAGAGGAATCCGAACGACGCCCTGAAAGCTACCAGTGCAACGTAACATGTTTGGGGTGCAGGGTTTAAGGGTGTAGCGGTTTAGGGTGTAGGGGTTAAGGGGTTTAGGGTTTAGGGGAGTTTAGGGTTTAGGAACCCTAAACCCTAAACCCTAAACCGAGGGCTTTATAGGGTCTTTGATCCACACCAGTGGGGCACCTCAAGAGGCTCGTTCAGGGAACGTAACAAGTGGGGTTGTGGTTGGCCTACTATACATCTTTACAAAACACACGGAATCCCGGAAACCTGTCTTCATGCTTTAAAGAGACTTTAGAGGCTCCAGGATCGATAAGAACACGCGGAATGATAGAACAGCTTTAGACTGCCTGTACCTCTCAAGACTTGTAGAGATCCTAAAACCCTAAACTCGAAACACCCAACACAAGATCCTGAATCCCTAAACCCGAACCACCCCCAAAAAGCTATGAACCTTAAAGCCGAAACATCTCACCAAATTTCCCAACGTCCCAAGCCCGAAACAGCTGAGACGCGCAACAATCTGAGCTCACGGAGTTTTGAGGTCGTCGCGGCGACCTGGCTGCCACCATCGCAGCCATCCTCCTCCATCCCGAGGCACTGGGTTCGGGTTCTCTGAGGGTTGGTTAAGGTTTTGGGGCTTAGGGTTGAGTAAGGGGTTTTGAGTTTTAGATTGGGGTCCTTTTTTGGGGGAGGTCATGGATCGCGTCCTCTCCGCTCCATGGTAGTTCCTTTTTTTCGTTGCAAGCGTTTCCTTAGTCTAAGTTGACTCAAGCCTGAGCTGAATTGGAGTGTGAACCTACAACCAGCACCTGGAG